TCTCGGGTTCGCTTCCATTGCCAAATACTAGCTGGGAGAAACGAGGTTTCTGGTAATAGACTCTGTAGAGGAGATCAATGAATGGGGAGATCAGGAATACAGAGCCAACTGTAGTGCTTCAGTGCATTGGTGCAGGCGGCCTAAATTGGGATATTTATTTATTTATTTATTTATTTAATTCAATTTATACCCCGCCCTCCCCGCAATGCGGGCTCAGGGCGGCTTACAAGTGGCAAACGCCAATATAAAACAACTTAAAAACATTTATAAATCCCACAGTACAAAAGCATTCATAACAATCAAAGACTGGAGTGCTCTAGATGTTCAACATAATATCAGATGGCATTTCTATAACTGCTCAGCCTCATCTGCTCCAGGGACTGATGTTCACCTCATCCAGGGCCAGGTAGAGATGGGATAGCGGTGATGTTAGTTGCGGCTCCTACTCATACGCCTGGTGGAAGAGCTCCGTCTTACAGGCCCTGCGGAACTGCATAAGGTCCCGCAGGGCCCGGATCTCCTCCGGGAGCTCATTCCACCAGGTAGGAGCCGCCACCGAGAAAGCCCTGGCCCTGGTAGCGGCCAGCCTGGCCTCTTTGGGACCTGGCATTGCCAGGAGGTGTTGGGTCCCAGACCGAAGTGCTCGAGGGGGAACATATGAGGAAAGGTGGTCCCTTAGGTAAGCTGGACCTTAGGTCCCTTAGGTAAGCTGGATATAGGGTTGCCAACCTCCAGGTGGTGTCTGGAGATCTCCTGGAATCACAAGTGATCTCCAGGGAACAGAGATCAGGTCCCCTGGAGGAAACGTCAGCTTTGGAGGGTGGACTTCATGGACTCATATCCCTAGGGGTTTCCCTCCCCTCCCAGCTTGGTGTAGTGGTTAGGAGCGCGGACTCTAATCTGGGAGAACCAGGTTTTGATTCCCCATGTCTCCACGTGCAGCTGCTGGTGTCACCTTGGGTCATTTCCAAGTTCTTTCAGAGCTGTTCTCTCAAGGGCAGTTCTCTTAGAGCTCTCTCTGCCCCACCTACCTTACAGGGTGTCTGTTGTGGGGAGGGGAAGGGAAAGGAGATTGTAGGCCGTTCTGAGACTCCAAGTGAAGGGCAGGGTATAAATCCAATCTCCTCCTCCTCCTCCTCCAGTTTGGTGTAGTGGTTAAGTGCACGGACTCTAATGTGGGAGAACTGGGTTTGATTGGGTCTAGGGTTGCCAGCCTCCAGGTGGGGCCTGGAGATCTCCCGCTTATACAGCTGATCTCCAGCTGACAGAAATCAGCTCCCCCGGAGAAAATGGCTGCTTTGAAGGGTGGACTCTGCGGCATTGTTCCGTGCTGAGGCCCCTCCCCTCCCCAAACCCCACCCTCTCCTAGCTCCACCCCCAAAGCCAGTTTGGTGTAGTGGTTAAGTGCGCGGACTCTAATATGAGAGAACCGGGTTTGATTCCCCACTCCTCCACTCGCACCTGGCTGGATGACCCTGGGCAAGCCGTAGTTCTGTCAGAGCTGTCCTTGAGAAAGAGCGGGTTCTGTCGGAGCTCTCTCAGCCCCACCTACCTCACAGGGTGTCTGTTGTGGGGAGGGGAAGGAGTTTATAAGCTGCTCTGAGGCTCCCAAGTGAAGAGTTGGGTATGAATCCAATCTCTTCTCCTCCTCCTCCTCCTTTTCTACGCTCCACCCCCCAAATTTCCAAGAATTTCGCAAGCAAGGGCTAGCAACCCTGTCTGGAGAGTAAAGAAAGCCGTGTCTATCCAGGCATTTATCGTCAACCTTCCATGCAGTGGCTGACAGCCAGATACGAAATCCCTTCCCTCGTGGCCCTTCAGGCATTCTCCAATTGCCTCCCACGCCCAGTTTAGATGAGACAAGACTGTGTTTGGCAACACAGCTCTGCTTCTATTGTCGTGACCTGCAGTTCAACCCTTGCGCTTGGATTGCACACCGGGTCGAGGTACAAGCTGACCATCCAAGTAGCACGAGTTGGACAGTAATAAAGGTCGGCAGTTAATGAGCATTCAGAACGGAGAGTCTCGGTCACTAATGCTCCAGGGAGGCTTTTAGTAACTGGACCACATGGATAATCGGGAACACCTGGAAATGCGAGGATAAGAAAGTTCTCAGGGTCTGTCTGACGAAAGGAACTTTGACTCTCGAAAATTCACCCCCTGAACATTTTGTTGGTCGCCAAAGTGCTGCTGGAGTTGAATGTTGCTGTTCTGCTGTAGACCAACACGGCTTCTCGGTGAAAGGATGTTGACAGGAGATCCGTGGTCTCTGTACAAAGCAGAGGCCTGCAGAGGTGCCCAAAACCCTAGCCCAGGGGTATTGTTACGAGGGCCGGACCTGACATAAATGAGACCTTGTCGGGCCGGGCCATGGGTGTCATAAAAGGTAATGCCAGGTAGCGGAGATATAAACTTTATATATATATTTTAAAAAAAATTAAATTGATTTTAACATAATTTACATTCTATAAACATTCTTCACAAATATTGTATTAACTTTTACAGTATTTGTTTTCCAAACCATTGTTAACATATATTAAAGAGTCTTACACATTTAACCTCTTCATCCATTCATATACCTTAGCCCATCTTTTATTAAATACTTTTTCGTTTTTATTTTGTAACATCAGGCTCGAAATATAAACTTTATAAAGGACACGAACACAAAGGGTTTTTTTTTAACGTAAAATTAAAACATCAGCACTCTTGCAATATTTTGTTTATTTCACAGTGTCCGATAACGGACACCTCTTGCTCTGAATTACTGCGCCAAAATGTCTGTGCTGTTGCAATCTTGAGTATGCTGCTCAGGTGTGTGTCTGTAAGCTGCAAACCTACGATGATGCAGCAGCAGCAGAACTGGAAGAAGCAGCAGAGGACAGCCAGTTCCACTGCGGGCCTGATCCGGTCCCCGGGCCACATGTTTGACACCCATGCCTTAGCCTGTCAAGAATTTCACCTTAAATCCTTTTGCACGAAAATACAAGTGAAGCAAAGAAGCAGCCAACCTTTCTGAGAAGGGCAGAAAACCAAAGCACAGTCTTTATCAAAAGAACAAATGTAGAGTCCAGTGGCCCCTTTAAGACTAATAAAGTTTTATTCAAGGTATGAGCTTTCGTTTGCACTGGAATGGTAGGTGATGTTCCACCTTATAGACAGGGGCTGAGCAGCAAATTAGCATGTAACCGTGATGAAGACGTGCAAAGGCAAACTAAAGAACAAGCTAAGGTTATAAGGTCAGCAGTTGTAAAGCAATAAATATGTCAAAATAGCAGATAAATGTGTAAAGATTTGGTGTTCATTTTGTTATGTATTCAAAGCCACTTGAATGCATGGAATGACTTATGTGAAACATCTCATAAGAACGCAATGTTAAGCTTCGCCCTGGGCTAGGATCCAAATGTAACCAATCGGAGTACTAGCCCAGGAAGTACCATCCAATCACTTCCCAGAGCGGGAACGCTCGTGATTGGTCTTTATGTCTTCAACCTTATTGGTTGGTTATGTGTACGGTGGGTGTGGCTACATTAGCCGGGAATGTTTAAAAGCAGGACAGCTGCTGTTAAACTGCGTTTGATGGGTTCTGGCTATCTGATGTTGTACCGTGTTGGAGTTTTGTGCGTTCTGAAGAATAAAGCCGTGTTCTTGCTGAATCACTCTCCGACTGCTTTGTTAAGTGAGCGACTTAACACATTTTAAGTGCTGTCGTCACAGCTGATTTGTGGTGACCCTGTAGGGTTTTCCAGGCAAGAGGCGTTCAGCGGTGGTTGGCCGTTGCCTGATTTTGTGTCATGGCTTTGGTATTCCCCCATCCAAATATTAGCCAGGACCGACCCTGCTTAGCTTCTGAAATCGGACCAAGATCAGAATAGCCTGGGATATCCAGGTCAGGGCCCCCTGTATCTTAAGTAAAGGTAAAGGTCTCCCTTGTTGAAAGCCAGTCAAATCCGATTCTAGAGGGCTCACCACCTCCCTAGGCTGCTGATTCCACCTCTGAACCACTCTGACCGTGAAGAGCCAGCACTGTCCGAAGACGTTTTCCGTGGTCATGTGGCCGGCCTGACTAGACACCGAGGCGCACAGAACGCTGTTACCTTCCCACCGAAGTGGTACCTATTTATCTACTTGCAGTTCCTTGCTTTCGAACTGCTCGGTTGGCAGGAGCTGGAACTAGAGACGGGAGCTCACTCCGTCGTGCGGCGCACTCGGGTCTCGGACTGCTGAACTTCCGATCTACAGTTTCAGCGTCTTAACCCCTTGAGCCTGTATCTTAGGAGATATTAAATAAATAATGTTTGTTTTATTGGATACAAAATTTGTGCTTTCCTGTTTTTCAAGTTTTATTTTCCCTACCTCTCAGGCAGCAGAAACTAAGATAAAGGTGCCAAGACAGGACAGTAGTGCTGTCTCTCTAATATTCGGTATATTCATAATTCTGTTTCTTAAAAAAAAAAAAGACATTTGTACTTTTAAATTGCATAAATATGCTAAGTATTACAATTTGATTTGCTAGCAGGTATAAATGATGGACTTTATGTCGTTAAAGTGGCACGGTGTGGTTAGGTTTGACAAGAAAGTAATCATTGCGTGTGTTTCAATTTCTACCACGTTTTAAATTTTTATTCACAAAAATCCTGTGAAGAGACTTTCCTCCCCCCATGGCTTCAAAATATCTGGAAATTGCACATCTCTGTTCCTGAACTGTCAATAACATGGCTCTGGGTTAGGGTTGCCAGCCTCCAGGTGGGGCCTGGAGACGTCCCAGAATTATAGCTGGTCTCCAGACTATGGAGATCAGTTCCCCTGGAGGAAATGGCTGCTTTGGAGGGTGGACTCTATGGCCTTGTACCCCACCAAGGCCCCTCCCCTTCTCAAAGTCTGCCCTCCCTAGGTCCCATCCCTAAATCTCCAGGAATTTCCCAACCCAGAGCTGGCAACCCCGGGTTCCTGACATCATAGTCACGTGACTTAGCTAACCTCTTTTCCCCTTTGCCTTTCAGATGAGAACTCGCCAGCGAACTTCTGGGATTCCAAGAATCGAGGTGTGACGGGGACACAGAAAGGGCAAATCGTCTGGCGAATTGAACCTGGCCCTTATTTTATGGAACGTAAGTACTGGCGTGGTTATACTGACTCTCTGGTACGCCAGAGGTCCTCAGTCTTTTTTGAGCCAACGGATAGCTTGGGAAATCTGACACCAGGCAGTGGGCGCCGACCACAAAATGGCCGTCAAGGGAGGCGGGGCCAACGACAAGACGTCAGGGAGTGATGTTACGCGTAACTCTGATAGTAGCGCTTCAAGCACAAACTCTGTTTAACTGGATGCTTTAAAAAAATTGAACATATTGCTTAAAATAATTTCATGCATATGGAATCATAGGATCCTAGAGTTGGAAGGGGCCATACAGACCATCTGGTCCGGCCCCCTGCCCGATGTAGGACCAGCCTAGAGCATCCCTGACAAATATCCGTCCAGCCTCTTCTTGAAAGCTGTCAGTGAAGGGGAGCCAACCACCTCTCTAGGCAGCTGATTCCACCTCTGAACCACTCTGACTGTGAAAAGGTTTTTCCTAATATCCAGCCGATACCTTTCTGCAAGTATACATTTACCTAGCTAAGAGACAGTCTGGCAATATCTTTCGGATTTCTAATGGCCAACTAGAAGGTCTGCTGGCTCCACCCACTTTCTGAAAACACTCGGCGGTGGGCACCATGCTGCCCGCGGGGACCGTGTTGGAGATCTCTGTGTTACGCGGAAGCATGCTTGCTTCCTTCTGATAGCTTTTTTCCTAAAAGACTTTGTGACACTCAGGGTGCATTCAGACAGGGCATTTGCAATGGTATAGGTGTCGGTTGGAATCGGTGTACTTACCGGCGTTCACACGGTGAACATCTGCCTTCTGTCCCTAACTGTTGCAAAGAGCTTTAAACCGTTGTATTCTGCCACTAGGTCCCCAAGTGGTGGTATCCTGAGTGCAACGGTTGTAATCACTTTACCCCCCGTTTGATCGCTCTCCACCGTTGTAGAGCTACTTCCGTTCGGAAGCCCGAGGCTTCCGATTTTTGTCCGCCTTTTTTTTTTAGGTTGGCGATATGCACTTGGGCGAAGCTTCGCCCCGGCGTTTTTTGTTTTTGTTTTTTAAAAAAGGTCCTTAGTTTAAGGTTTCAGAGGAGTCCGGGACCTCAGGGAGGCCACTTTGCTTCAGAATTTGAACGGGGCGGGGGGGGAGGGAGATTGGCAGTGCCAAAAATCTAATCATTTGAAATTATCAGTAAATAAGTTCTCTGCTAGTAAAACAAATGTGTTTATTTAGCATCCAGAGCAGAATGTTTTTAAAAGGATGGTGAAAAGTAAGCCGAGAAGAGCGTGCCAAGAACATATACCGGCTTGTTAGGGATTGGCTGAAATTTGAAGGTAGATGATGAGCCATTAGAAAAATATCTGGACATTTCCTTTTATTGCTCCCCTACATGTTTCTGTGCCTGTTTCTAAAGACTGTTTATAAAAATCTGGGGAATAAGAGGGAGGGGGAAAACTGGTGTGTTTAAAAGAGAGCATCATTTAAAAAAAAAAAACCCTCAAAGAACATCAGTCTTTTTGGCCAGTGTGACCCAGGTTTAAGTGTGAGATTCTTTTTTAAAAAAATAGTGAATTGAACTGTATAGATTTGATGGCCATTTTACAATGACCGTACTCTTGTCGTTTAAAAAGTGACTCTCATCAATGTCAATAGCTCTTGGAGATTCCTTGGAACTTGCTCCTGTTATAACGCCCAATTTATATTGGAGAATGTTAAAGAAATGTGGATTAAATGATTTGTGCTTGCACGTACCGTTTCAATATCGCCGTTCAGATGGAGCCATTCTGCTGCTCCAGTAGGTCAGGATAATGCAATCTACCCTTCACTTTTCATCTGTATCGAGGGGAAGATCTTTCTCAGACTGATGCCTGGTTGGTACAGCTTGCAGGGCCTCACACAAAACAGAGATACAAACCTTTTCTGGCTTGCATCTCACATAAGTAAAGGTAAAGGTTTCCCTTGCTCGAAAGCCAATCGAATTTGACTCTAGGGGGTTAGGGTGCTCATCTCCGTTTCCAAGCCGAAGAGCCAGCGCTGTCCGAAGACATCTCCGTGGTCATGTGGCCGGCATGACTAGACACCAAGGCGCACTGAAGGTCATCCAGCAGCTGTGAGAGGTTTGGTGTGGACCCCATCAGAAATCTTTCAGGTGTGATTCTGTGCCTGTACTGTTATGTGTAACAACAAAATCCTTTCAGTCCCTTTACACACAACATCACACTTGGAAGATTTATGATAGGGTTCACACCAAGCCTCTCTGTTCTTCCTCTGCTCCTCCCTCCCCCACTTCTGAAACTTTCCCTATATGAATTTCCACAATAATTTCCTCTTCATCTGAAGAAGTGAGCTCTGGCTCATGAAAGCTCATCCTGAAGCAAATGTTGCTAGTTGTCAAGGTGCTGCTGGACTTCAGTTTTAATTTATAGCACACTTGCCCCAGAATTCTCAGCCAGTAAGATCTTGGTCCATAATTACCCTTTTAGCCACTGTCGAGTTCAGTTCCTCTATGCATCCCGATCTAGTAACAAATGACCATCAAACATGAACTATAGTGTGCCACTCACTGGGTTTTCCTTCCTCTGAAAAGAAACCATATCAAAATGGGTTTTTTTGCGCACTACAAAACAAAACAAAAAAGATGATTCGCTTTTCTAGACAGGCCGGCTTTGAGTCCAGGAGCATGTTAGAGAACAAGATTTTCGAGATATAGAAGGATTTCAGACAGCCTATCTATTCCGTTTCAGGAACTGGTTACTAACTTTTTTTCTGTCATTTAGACAGACCCGTTTTAGTAACCGACTGTTACCTTTTCATACAGTGCCGGTTGTCTCCCATTTGGGAAGTGTGTCTGAGGCGTTGTTGACGAAAACTGCCTTCCTCAGGTCTTCAATCCCTTCTTCTGCATCTGAATCGGTGCAGTGGGCTGTGTAAAATGTCCCGTAACGCTTCCTCCAGTGACGGGTTTTTCACACCCTTTCCCCCCCCCCGCCCTGCAATCTCTCCTCTTTTTTTTTTTTTTAAATGTTCTACTGGGAGTGCTATAACGCTATAACAGGATGTCAAACCAGCGTCATAGCGCTCCAATACGTTGTTAAAAAAAACCCTCTCAGGGAGATCGTGCACGCGGAGGAAAATGGCGGGAAAAGAAAGTGGCACAGTTTGAAATGGCCACAGCGCTTCAGAGACGGCTTCTTACCGGAAGGGAAATGCTGTGTGAAACAGCCGTCCCTGTACCAGTTTCCTCCGTGACAGGCCAATAACGGCAACCAGGCGGTTTAAAAAGGTAATGTGAAATCGACCGTAATCTTTTGAGAGTCAAGGCACCCTTTGTGGGGGTATCTGACGAAGGAAGCTCTGACTCTCAAACACTTATAGCCTGAAAATCTTGCTGCTCTCTAAAGTGCTCCTGGATGCGAATTTAGCTCTTCTGCGGCAGAGCAACAGGGCTACTTTTCCAAAACTATAGATATATCAGGACATTGAAGAATTATTTTAGTAACATGAAGCTCATTCTAAAAAACAACAACACACCCTTGGCTTTCTGAAGAAAACAATTCCTCTGCCTTGAAAATACACACCTGTAGTGGAAATAAAACTGCTGCGGCCCGGAATCCTCAGTACAGATTGAATACAAATGTGAAGGTTCTACATGCATAAATATACTGTAAAGGACGTGAGGGGGAGCATCGTGAAAGGGTGGGAGATGCGCCTGTGACCTATAATGCTCTGGTCGCAATTGCAATAAACTGGCGCCCTCCGGCTGTCACCCGCCGAAATGCAGCTGACTTTCTACTTCAGCACTGGTGTCCTCAGAAGAGCCTGTAGGTACCTCTTTCTGTTTTCTGCAGAAGAATCCAAATGTGATGTCTGCGTAAAATGTTACTCTCTTTTTGGCTGCAGAAATCCAACAAGGAAAAATTAGGTTTTCATTGCTTGGCGTATGATGGAAACTGTGCTTTCCGATTGCTTTTGCATAGCATTTTTCTTGCGCGCAGCATGTCTTTGCTTCCTAGGCTAAAGGAGTGGGTAAAGAAGAAGAAGAGAAGAAGAGATTGGATTTATGCCCCGCTCTTCACTACCCAAAGGTGTCTCAGAGCGGCTTACAAACTCCTTTCCCTTCCCCTCCCCACAGTAGACACCCTGTGAGGTAGGCGAGGCTGAGAGAGCTCTGACAGAAACTGCTCTTTTTCAAGAACAGCTTTTATCAGAACTATGGCTTGCCCAAGGTCATCCAGCCAGGTGCAAGTGGAGGAGTGGGGAATCAAACCTGGTTCTCCCAGATTAGAGTCCATGGACTTAACCACTACACCAAACTGACATCAACACTCACGTTTTACCGTCAGGCAGGCCCGTAGCTAACATGGGGCCCACAGGGCCCAGCCCCCTTGTGTTTCTTCTGGGCCCCCTCCCTCCAGGGCTGCCCCCAAAGTGCTCCAACTTACCACCTGCACTGTACTTCCATTTAATTAGCTGGCGGCCCCCCCCAAGGCCCCCTCCCAAAGAATTCCCTAGCTACGGGGCTGCCGTCAGGGTTCAGGTAAAGCTAACAAGTTGCGGCTGGCCTGGTCCCTTCCATATTTTTTGTAGCTAAGCAGGAGTTTTTTTGTTTCACGTTCAGGGGTTCTGGCCACGCTGTCCGGAAAACAGAATGAGCAAAATATTCGCGCTGAGCTAAACTTTTTGTGCTTGTGCTTTTCGTGAACATTTGTTCCCTTTACGAAAAGCATTCCCTTTCCAACTATTTGTAGGCAGAAACAATAGACTGTGTTGCTTCCTGTCCCTGTTGTGGGGCGTGACTCACATTTGAGGGGGCAGAGCCCCGAAATGTCCCACTGTAACTACAGGCCTGGGAGGCCTCCTCTCCCCCCAGCTCCTGTTGTCCACCACTGGAAAAAAAAATAAAAATGGCATCCTTGTGTGGGCACGCTGTATCACTTCTGGTTAAAAAAACAACAACCATAAGTGACATCGGGTAGCTCTAGGAATCTGGGTGATTGCTTAGAGCTACCCTGCATCGTGTCCAGAGC